TTTGATATGAAATTATAGTGATTCTGATATCATCATTGAGGCACTCGAAGAACAAGAGGAAGTCAACCGCTCTTTGGCGCGCGCACGATTTCGCCAGAGCCTGCTGGTCTTTGGCAACATTGTGCGTTCACCGAAAAACCACCCCTGGGAACTTCGGGTTTAGCTTGTTTTTGCTTGGTTTTAGCGTTTTTTGCTGGCCGCGGCTGCTTGCGTTTCGATGTTTTATGCGGATAGAAATGTTCTGATGAAGCGCTGGCAACTCGAGCACAGCTGGGTCAATACAGGATGCAGTCTGCATGCCTGAATAAATTTTATATGCTAGTCAAAACGTTTAGTTTCCCGACCGATGAAAATAAAAAGAGCGCCTGCATTGCAGCGATCACGCGAGAAATCTGGACTCGCACTAAGAGCGCGTAGGTTTGTTTTACCCACTCCATCAAAGGCAATCTAAAGCTCAGCGTAGGCTAATGGTACAGAGGCGATACTCAAACGTAGGCTAGTCGAAGGCCCTCGGTTACCGGCAACACATCAGTCACTGTCGTCTTCCACCCGCGGCAGATAAGTGTACTGACGCCTGTAATGGGTAGCAAAACGTGAAAGCTAACACTGAAAATCCAAAGCAAAGGTGTTTGTTTTATATTTTGAGTGATACCAAAGACGTGTACTTTTTGAAACAACGCGGGACACAAAGCAGACATATATCGCCGTCCAATGTACGTCGTAATGTCGTTGCACTTGATTTTTTTTTAAAGTGACGCCGGCGAGTGGGCTCTCATCTGTGCGAGCTCATCGTATGTCTTTCTGCCGTTAATTAACATCGCCGCATTCTAGTTAATTTATCTTTTGGATGTGAACATGAACTGTAGGTTTAGGTATAGGTTCAAATGGAAAGTTTGAATCACGAATAGCTTACTCGTGAGTAAACCCTAATAGTTCGCGGGACCCTGCAGCCGCAGTTGATGTGATCGCATTTCAAAATTTCTCAGTCGCACGAACGCTTCAGATCGCGAGCTATTCCGATCGCCGCTGATCTCTTTAAAAAGTTCCCGGTGTGACACAGGTGCATAAATAAGCGTTTTATCCGAAGGTTGTGTGCTTAGGCGAAAGCACAAATATGTTCGGGGCCCAAGCGGAAGAAGCTTTTCAGTTCTCGTCGGAAAGTTGAATTGCACAATTTCACTATGGTTCGGGCAACTCTTCTCTCGCATGTCGATGGTGCATGTGGGGTGGGCTTTGAAGACGCGGACAGGGAAAATACAGGTGTGCGCTGTCGATTCCCGGTCCGTGTCTTCAAAGCGCATGCACATCGTTGACATGCAGAACCAGCTGGCCCAATCAAGTTCGCTGACTAACTTCCCCTGCAATTTATACATATTATGTTTCTATAGGCGCGACCACTATCAGAGATAACACGGAACTGGGGGGCCGCGCTGATCGGAACGACGATAGTTATATAGCGCGCGAACAAAACCACGACACAGAGACAAGAAGGACACGAAGGACACTGTTCTCGCGCTATAACTATCGTCATGTGACACCAACTAGCTCAAGCTGCCACATTTCTAACTTACCGGAACGCCACGACGGATATTTTGCGCGGCGCCCGTCGGCCACGCGAGCCGTGTTACCTGCGGCAGTGGCCACATTTGTACCTGCCGTGTGCTACGTCGAGCCCCTTGATGTAACCGCTAGACGTTGCTGCAAGAACATCCTAAGGAATGCGCCAGAAGTAATAGAGCAGCGAACTCAAACACACCACGAAAACAGCGCTGGAACCATTGAAAAAGCATTGCTGGAAGTGCTGCACACGAAGTCTGCTAGGGTAGGCCGTTCGACGCGAGCCAGTTTGCCATATGCGGTTTTGCCGATGCTGCGCCAAGGGACGATCACAGCATACGCCAGCCTGGCCTTCAGAAGTGCTGCACGCCTAAGAAAAAAAAAAAAAAAAACTTTACAGGGGCACTTATATATTCATTCGTCTCCGACGACATTCGCTATCCAGTGTCGCTATTGTGCTGTCGGCGTAGTCATGTAATAACGTAATCATGCAACATCACGCTATTTCACGTTATGCAGTGACTTCGTGAATTTTGAAGGAAAGTGTAATTTTAAGGTCTCGTTTAATTTGTTAGATACAGTGTTAATGAGAACTAACAGACCGAAATACCAGGGAAAGTTTAGAGAATATTATTCGAAGTAATTTTAATGTAAATGCGAAGAAATAAAAGATGACGGAAGGACAACTTGCCCCCGGCAGGATCCGAAACTGCGACCTTCGAATAACGCGCCCGATTCTCTACCACATGAGCTACGGTGGCGGGTATCTCTCCGTCCTCTTTTATATATATGTGCATTTAAACGTGGTAAAAGACTAACTGTATATGTTGACTTTAGGTAGCAGAATAGCGCACTTGTTTTTGAACGCCGCTAGCAACCATGCACTGCGGAGAAGCTGATGCACAGGCCGCACCGCTGAAACTGGTCGCCGTTCACCTAGAAT